TATGTATGTATGTATAAATTTGTATTTGTGTATGTGTGTATGTTTTATTTGTTTTGGACCAACATGAATGCTGTCTTGTTGTTGTCACTTCCCTTCGGATGACGTTTGTATGTAAATATGTGCCTGTGTATGTACTTAGGTATGTTGATGGTACTCAGTACTAGTATGTGCGACTTGCTGTGTAGCTATCTGTCGGTGTGTCCGTGTGAAATGTCTGCATTTATTAATGGCTGGGGTGGTAAGGGGTGTTCGGTTTGATGGCATTGATTGTGGTTGAATTTAATATGAGGGGAGTGAGAAGTTTACAATGGCATTGTAATAAATTTGTTATGTCGCATTGACAGTTTATGTGATTGTATGTAAATGAGGTTCCAGAAGTTTTTTATTGTTTCGCTTCTGTTTGTTTTATTTTTTTTTTTAAATGCACGTTATTGAAATATGGGAGCCTGTTTTGGTTGGTTTAAGTTGTTTATTTAATTTGGGTATGACATTTTTTGTACAATTTTAGGGGTGTTTGAACCAAAAAAAAAAAAGACGAGGCTATTGCATCATGGCTATCTGAGATTCTCGGTGCAATAAGGAATAATTTATTTAATTATTAGTTCAATTATTGATTTATTTATTTAGTTATGTATCTAATTATCTATTTCTTCCTTCCAATAATACTTAAGCCTCCAAAGCCAAAGGATTAGTTCTAACGGTAAGAATTAGCAATATAGTAACGACAATTTACAATATATAATTTTATGTTACAATTTTGAATTATTTATTTCAAATAGCTATGCAATAAAATATGCAATCGTTGTGTAAAATGGTTAGTGTTAACTTCTTCATTAAGATACCATTTACCAGATACCATTTTCCCTTTATGATATTGAAACAACAAGAAAAAAGTACAAAGCTAGTAGATTCTGGCAGTTTCTGGAACAGAGCGATTATGTACAAATATGAACATTTGTATCGACAATATTTGGATGGGAAAAATAATATTCAGAATATGATAGCCCGTTAGCCTGTTAGACGAATGTGTGAATGTGTGAAAAACGTTAGTTGTCTTTTTAAGCTGATATTAAGAGAATCTTTTAGAAACAGAGCATTCGAACGAAATGTTTTTAAAGTATATTTCAGAAAACTATGGTGGCCGAAGCTAAGTTGTGGTTAATTTCGCATTTTGATAAACCCATGCAATTCTATTTATGTTGTTCGTCTACGAATGTGTGTATTTTCACATTTTTATATCGTTGAAACATTTCTCAGATGTATATAATCACTCTGGAGTATTTAATTGGCATTCCCTTAAAATGTGGTTTGTAGCAACACAGGTTGGTCTGGATTTATATAGAAACGACTTTAAAGCGCTCAACTTAGTTGCCTCAGACCTAGCCGCAATATGCCAAAACTATTACACAGGGATATCTACAAAATCGCATCATTGAAGACACACATGTGTTTCTAATGGCCAACAATATAATGTTCTGCTCCCTCACCCCGCCCCTGAACACCGAGGAATTTAAATATCGAGTAACAATAACAAGTCGTATCTCATAAGCATTCGACAGATGAGTACGTAGGTATTCGCTGTCAAATGTTTCGCATAACGTCAATTTAGGACAAAAAGGATTTGTCTATCGTTCTTCTATGACACGACATCCACCGCATGATGCATTTCAGTTTTAGTTTTTCCCTATTCCACGGTTTGACAGGATTAAAAATACCTTCTGCTGTAGCGGTGTTTTACAATAAAAAACGCTGCAATTTGTGTTCGCTGACATCTGTGTATGTGTCTGTTTCTAAGCCAATGCCGCACAAACAAATTCAACTATCGTGCCTTAGTTGTTTTCCATTATTGGTACCGTTTTTTTTTTTTGTTTTGAAAATATGTTTCGTTTTTTCACTATTTGTTATCAAATTTATTGTTATGTGCGTATTTTTGTAAATTTCAAATTGCTGTTGTTTGTGCCCTGTACACAACAATGCTGCACATGTGTTGCCGGTGATACGTACATATACGTGTGTATGTATGTTCATATACATATAGGAGTATTTATTTACATACGTGTATTTCTAGCTTGGCAAAGTATTCATTTTGTTTGTTATTCCTTGGAGATTCGAATTTTGGGGAACACGATTGCCTCACCGCCAACTTTATATAAATCAAAAGGATTGTTCGTTTCAAACTCTTATTTAATATTTAATTGTCAGTTCCTACCATGGAAAAGTATTGTTCTACCGACAGATAACTTGTACGAGTTCTTCGTTATGAGTTTATTATTTATGCGACATCACAAAGTTTTGTCTCCAACTTTCATAAATAATTGTTTGTTTTTTGAACACAGTATTAACAAAATTTTCCTGTTCCTCAGGAAATGATTAGCAACGAATTCTACTTCAGTGCCCAGTATTTAAGCCTTTGGTCCTCCCTTGCGCCCTGGTTATTGTTTTGCAAACATATATCAGTATAAACTGAAAATTACCGACCCTGTTCTGAATAAACAATAACATTTGGAATTGAGGTATTTGCAATATTAAGTTATAGATTAGGCGATTATTTTATTAAATAAAAAATAGAAATGTTTGCAGAGCCCAGACATCGCAGAAAAAACCCGAACTTTTAATACCCTACACCATTTGGAACTACCACTTATATGGGGGGCTAAAGATGTGCACACGAAATTTTTTGTCAAGTCTGTACGAATTCCAAATACGAAATTTGAAATAATTCCGGTAAATAATGTCGCTAAAATCATGAAAATACCCAATATCGGCAGGTACCGTCATATGGGAGCTATACGAAGACGTGGACCTGCATGCGTAATTTTTCGCCATAGGTTTTAGTACCCATTAAGATATTCCATTACGAAATTTTAAACGAATCCGGTGAATTATGTTGTTGAAATCATCAAAATACCTACTATCGGGAGGTGCCGTTATTTGGAGGCTATACGAAGATGTGGACCGACATGGTCCATTTACGAACTTAACCTGCCTACTGGTAAACTATGCATTTATACATATGCATTTATTATTTAAGATAGCGTGGTTACAACAGACAGACAGATGGACATCACCAGACGGTCTTGGATTTTTACGCTAATCCAGAAAATATATACTTCGTATGGTCTATTATGAATAGAAAGACAAAGCTAATATACCCTCCATGCTATGGTGGAGGGTATAAAAAGTGTGAAATGTTAATACTGTTACTTTGAAAAAAACTTTGAATTGCTAGAAAATAAAGATATCTGGTGAAGCAAATGATTTAAGAATTCCTTTTGATAAATAGCTTGGATTTGTTAGAAAATATAAAAATTTTTTAAAATCTACATAGGGCGTGTATAAATTAAGTGTCCAAAGTTCATAAATATTTTATGCGCTCACAATTTTCACCATTTTGCACTAAAATCCGTCAAGATCAGTATATTTGTAGGAAAAATCGCATATGTATATTTTTTACGATACGCTACTTATTAGAGTTTACAAAATCGACCATTAGACTTTGGGAGCAAATGTATGGGACTTCATAGCCTTAGATGTAGATTTCCATAATTGAGTACTACAAAGTTCTGTAAAGCATGGTAAGATATTAAGGTGCAAGTACATAAAAAGCTTTTTTGACTGGCATGAGTCATCAAACGAGCATAGGGCCAAAATCGAACTAATTCAACAGTAAACTTAATTTTTCCCTTACGAAGAAGCCAGCCGATAATCAAGCCAGTACAAAAAGCGTATTTTGTATTCACACCTTTTGATATTTAGTTTTCGGCATTTCGAAGGAGCAAGAATTCTTATAACTCAAGTTTTCTATGTTCAAAATGTCAGATTTCGTTCAAGGTGGACACCGTGAATATTTGACACAATGTTTATTTTTTCCTAAACCTTTTCATGGAGTATTTAGTTGTATAGCATGGCAAACATATATTTTTACAATAACAATTTATCAAAAATGCATTTAAAAATGTTGAGCAGATATGTTTTTTTTTTCAAAGTCAAATCGAACGACTTAATCATTCGATTTTGTACAAATTTTAGATTAGAGTAACAAACCAAGGGACGCTTCAATCTGGGGAATCTGACCCTGACTGCAGCTAACGTGTTTTCTGTCTTTTGATTTCAACTTTCAATGCCAAATATTTGTAGTGAGATCAATATTTTTAATTGTTTAGGGACATTGTTTGGAAACAGGAAATGTGACACACTTCTGGCGTGATGTAAACATGTCGGTAACAGACTTACCCGCTGCTTCATCAAGGACTTTTCGTTTATTAGCAGCAAAAGGTTGGGTGTACGTCGTCGACTACCTGCCTCATGGTAAGTCAGCAAAATGCAATAAAACAGACGTGCATAATTTAGTCAATGTCATTATGACAATCAGAGGCATTGTCAACTGACTTCAAACTGGACAGTTCTATGTCATGGTCATATGCTTTGACACACTTCTGCAATAATGGCTTATAAAAAACTCCAGGTGATTTTTAAACTGCCGTCTAAAGAGTGAAACAAGGACAACATTTGATGGTTTTTGATTCTAACATTGCGTTTGTTCGGATTTTTAGTGGCGTCTTCTAGAAGCAAGAGAGTGACTATTAGTGTTGGAAATGTTGTATTTTTATCTTTGGGACCTCACAACATAGAACTCGGATTTATTTTTTCAGATTTTACTAAAATTATACAAAATATAGAAGAAAGATAGTACATGCCAGTATTGTCCTTTATACATTATTGTATTTTTAATTATTGAGTTTTCTTATTTTTGCTCAATATTTTGAAATATCTACTAAACTGTATTTTCATTTTGATGTCAGTAGTTTGACAGAAAATTTTAAATTAAACGATATTAACTAAACGTGAGCTCAATGAACTATAATATATTATATTGGGTAAGGAGATTTTGCTCTAAAACAAACCAAACAAATACTTTCTTTTGCAATGGACGTTTTAAGGCAGTAAATGAAACAGAACCAAATCTATAGATGTAGGTATCCGGGAAATATGATACTCACTGAATCGACATAAACGACATAAAGATGATGACGAGAATAGAACATTTTTTTTATTTTTGCACAAAGTTCCAGAGAATCATCATCTGAATCATCTGAAATAGCACATCTTGCAATTCTTTTTTGATTATTAATTTTTTACTTTGGCCTATTTATCGACATTTGTGCGTTGTATACTCCTTCAAAATTTTTAGCAGGATTTTATTATTGGTATTGCATTGATCTAGATCATTGGCTTCTGAAATGCAAGATGGGGAAAAAAGGCTCACACTTTAGATTAACACAGTGGTTACGTCTCTTTGATCGACTGAAAATGTTCATTCCATGCATACCATATACTACACTCTCTATAGACATCGAATAAAAATCGAAATTATTGTAGCTAAGTAATATTAAGAACGTCCGACCAAACCCTATGAAACTGTTGCTGTATATTTTTGTAGATACGAAACAACAACTCCGAATGAAGCTAATAATAATTAAAAATAAAATGTATTAACACACTTAATTGTAAATAAAATGTCATTATGCGTAGTCCTTAAATAACAACAAGATCCATCAATTTCCAAATTGAGAACGGAGTGTGGTGAATTCTTATCTACACAAGAGGACCGCAGTGGAATGAAACATACAGATATTTGAAAGACCGACGCACACACACTACCTACACACATTAACAGAAAACGACACAGCTGTCAACGCAAAAACAAAATGACGAATTTATGAAGCAAAACAGTTCGTTTCCAATTCGAAGGTGGAACTGAGCAACTCATTCTCCTCTGGGCTCGAAAGAGTGACAGAGAAAAACATATTCAAGAGCAGACATTTTTAAAATACATTTCCGATTAGATTTGGGAACAAGTCCAACTCAATGAGTGTTTATTTGAGTGAGAGATTGCAGAGAGATGTTGTTGAGAGAGGTAATCATTTTCCGAAGTCATACAGATATCTCTTTCCCACACACGAAGGACAGACTCGATTCCATATCAAAAGAATGAGAGGGAAGTGGAAAAGAGTGAAATTAAAAAGTGGATGTGGTGTGTCGCAAAACGATGATTTTGGTATTTTCATTGCGGTTGCCTTTCAATGCCCATATTTCTCATATCGCGTTTGTTGTTTTTGTAGCTCTGCCATGGACCGCTCATTGTGCCTGTTGGCTGGGCTTGTGCGGTTGATTGTGCACGAAACGTTTATCATTCGCTAACAATGCCACCTTTTAATCTAAGGCATCTTGTTATTCACGCACACACACACACACACACACAAACTCCATGGCCTTATAAATCATCATCGTTCCATTGGACTGTTTGACGACGCCTTCGAAATAATATTCGACTTTGTTGAATGAAAAGAGCGCTCAAGTGGACGGACGGTCGAACGATGGTTATGAATTGTGAATGGGCATTGATGGATGCTTGGAGGCACGATTTGACTGAATGTAAGTCTCCCACATGCCGGGCTCTCTACCGAAGCGCTCTCTTTAACTTTCTTGGGTTGTCATGGAGGTTTGTAGCGTGCCCTTGCCAGCGTTCCTTCATGTACATATGTATTCCGACCTGTTTTACTTTACTTGCCACTGCAGCTCACAGAGCGTAGCTGCTAATACTGCTCACCCAAGAAGCGATGGAATTAAACTTTCAAACGATGTTTTGAGGTGCCTTTGCCATCAGTTTGGTTCCGTATGCGGCTGTTAAAAACGTTGAAGAACAAATAAACGGATTTGCTTTTCGTACCTGTGTGAATAACTGAAGGCATAAAAGAAAGAAAAACACAAAACACAATTTTCATAGTGCTAAAATAGTTGAAGGTGCTCTTGAGCACAACGAAAACACGAGTCCCGCTTTTTACCCCATTCCGTGTCCCCAACCCGTTGAGGTTAAATGTCGTTTTTGAGTTTTTCCCTACTCTGCCACTGAGAAAATTTTCGCTGTTTTGCTGCTTTTCTCGACGCATTTCTTCGCCGCTTGATTTTCGTGTTTCTGTTGTTGTAGTAGGTCGATGATGAAGTGTTGAAAAGACGGATTTCTTTTCGCCAAAGCAATGAGTGCGATTGTCGTGTAGGCAATTGTCGACTTGCACACTTACACATGCAAACGACACTCTTCACATTTCACTACAGCGACAACACATCAGTGAAAAGCAAAAAGCTCTCAGTCACAAAGATCAGCTGTTTAGCTGACCATTACACGTCGGTGGTGTAGCTCCCTCTGCTAGACTTCCATGCGTAACTTTAGACCGATGCGCATTCCATTACAAAACGAAGCTAGCCTCCCCCAACCACAGTCGCAAACAACACAACAACAGTACCCCACTCGGGTGCCCCAACTAAAACAACGGAATGCACAAACAACTGATTGGGTACGAATTACGAAGCAAATAACAAACAAACAAACAACAAACTTGGCAACTTTACGCGTTCACATAGGGGCGCCGCCACCTGACATTCTGATAACTGCCGTCGCTTAGCATCTTCATTCATTGGTCAGCCAGACAATGGAACGGTTGTCGCAACAATAACGGAAGAATAGAAATCCCCAAAAACGCGATCGATTTAAAAAGCCCGTGCCGTACCACAGCCTCTCGTGGTTCGAATTGCGTAAATATTTTCAAGTGCGAAACGATTCCAATCGAGTGCAATGAGAAACAGTAGCACGTGTGAGAAAAAAGTGTTCCCATTCAGTGTTTAGCCAAGATTTCTGAAAATGCTTTTTAGCCACATGAGTATCAAACAGGAATTGCAAACGGATGAGACACAGCAACATAGCCAATTTCAGCCAAGTCAATCGAAATTTGTCGAAATCGAAAATTGTAATAACTGTTCAAAAATTGCCCCAAACCCACTGACACGTGAAAGCCCCAAAACAATAACCAACTCCAGACAGATTGCCACCATCCTCAACAACAGGACTGGCAGCAGAAGCAATCGTCCTTTAGTCCTCAATTTAACCAACACAACGAGAACGACCACCAGTTCTTGCATCGGCGGCGCCACGGATTTCTCAATAGCAGCGATAATGGCGAGAGGCGGAAATGCCTCGAGCCGCGAACCATCGGAGAGGAGTTTGAGTGAGTAATGTGATGTGTACTTAATCGTTCTTACAACAAATAAACGCAAACACATTCAAACACACGTAATGCCACAGAAATGGGCATTGGGACGTCTTCACGCCAATCTGAATATCCTTTCGTTTCTCGACTAAAGAGGCTTATTATTATTTCCGAATGTGACATTGTGCGTATACGCACGTACGTTTGTGTATGTGGATGTGTGTGTATGTGTGTATGTGTGTTCTGTGTGTATTGTTATTGCCATTACCGGCAGGAATCTCTTTCATTTCTCTTAAAGGACTTTCCATAGAGTAGCTCGTAGACATTCGTCCTAGTTTCGGACAAAGAGCGCACAAAGTGTAAATATGATGCGATTCTTTGCGTAAATTGTGCGTAAACAGCGTATTAAAGACGGTTCGTACGTCAGTTTGTTGGCTTCTGATGGTAAATCCACTAAAACACTTACTTAGTTTACGTAATCTCTGTGAGTTCTGTAAATTGTCATCAAAATAAATGTTTACCACTTGGTTCTGTCTGGTCCTATTCTTCAGTCATCGTTTTCGTGAGTTTCAAATGAGCCTATATTCCCCTGAATTTCTTTTGATTACAAGGCATTCGATGCTAACTGCACTTTGAACCAAACTATGCGTATATAATCGCATTATTATTACAAAATATTCAAAATGCACCTCCATCAAATGTGTTGTGTACTACGGTCTGAACATCTGAATCATTTTGTCATACATCGCGTAAATGATCGCTCAGATATAGGGAATTTTGACACACCTATATGAAGTTTCTGAAAACACGAGCTACAATTGCGAATTATTAACCTGAAAACTTCTCTGCCATTATTTCGAGAATTGATAATAGAAATAGTCAGTTGTTGAATATTCATTTTAGAATAGCAATGTGTTTGTTCGTTGAAAGAATATCCTGTCAATGTAAATTCTCCCACAAAGATTGTTATTTCATTCGATTTCTTATAATTTAGATCAGAGGTTTGATTTAAACAGGCAAGGCATGAAATATCCTCACAATAAATTTCCATATTTTGACAATTCAGCCTAACAGCGATACCCAAAATTCGACATACACGATCGACGTTTTTCGCCACACACACACAAATTTGGATGTACCACAGGAGGAAAAACCTAAACGAGTTTCAAATACCACATTTGAAACAATTCTCTTGAAAAATGTCATACCCTATATTCGGAGGTACTTTCAACTGAATCGGTCATAATAGAAGGTATTCCTGTTAGTTTTTTTAATAATTTGTAATCCAATTTCCGAACACAAACTATTTTAAAATTATAAAAAATGACCATTTGAGAAGTGGCCCGGGCTCCATGCACCGCCTCTATGGCTACGTCGCACAGTGGGGTGAGATCCTCAAAAACGGAGTTTAATTCGGGAAAGCATTCTATCGCGTTGAAATTTTGTCCAGACATTTATATTACCCTCGCATGTTTAGTGTTAAAAATGGGGCATATTGGGCCACGTTTCGTTATGACCCCCATATAGCGTTGCTTCCTGATTTTCGGTATTTTGAATCTTTTGACCACAATTTTAAAGCAAATCTTTTTATAACGTGACATTTAGAGTTCTGAGTATATCTCATCATAATAAGAGTTTTAAGATATCTCCAGTATTTGCTATAGACTCCTAATTTTCGGCATTTTGAAGGTTCCGACTACAATTTTAAACCCAAGCCATACATAGCTGCACTTCTTACTTTTAGATATTTTGAGAATCTCTCCCTACAAAACTTTTTGTGATAAGTCCACTATTGTTTGTAGGCCCAATATAACGGTACTTTCTAATATAAGGTATTTTGAAGGTTTTAGAAAGAGTTTTTTTACAGATGTATAATTTCGTATTTTGTTTCTCAATGGGTAAAAACTACAAATACTGCCAATATAGAGCCACCCTTAAACGTAGATCTTTGTAGATCCCAATAGTGTTGTATACACAAAAACAGAGATAAATTCGAAAAAAGCTATTTTTCCTTGGAAAACCTTAAAGCGGAAGACAAAGAGACTGCATATTTTTATGAGAGAAATTATATTTAAAATATATTTAAGTAATTGGCTAGCAACTTAGCTTTCATATCTGAAATAGACCAAAACCATATTAATATATTTTTATAAAAAAGGATGTGTAACTGAGCATACCATTTTTTAAATAAAACAAAAACTGCACGCGCTTTTTTTGACTATTGAAGATGGCATTCCATACCAAAATACAAAAGAAATATTTTAAGACCTTCTCGATATATTTAACGATTTAAAATCCATCTACTTTTCGGATATGGCGAAAATATGGACATAATTTAAATCAACCTTCAAAATATTAAAAATTTTTGCACTTCAAGACCCCAAAAACAAGTTTTTTCCTTTTTCTTGCGAAATAGTCAAACATTTCTAAACAACGTATTACTTTGAAAATGTTGCGTTTTGTAATATTTTGTAATATTTAAAAAAATACATTTTTCAATTAACTCCGTTTTTTGTGATTTCACCCCTCGGTGCGTCGGTCAAAACAACGATTACCACGTTGCCAAATAAGAACATTTCATCACACGAATCTTAAAAATGCTGAACTAGTTTTTCCTTGACTTCAAATGATCCCATTTTCGGTGTTAGTTTTATGTTACCGTTTCAAATAATATTCAATTGATAATTTTTTATTATGTCAATTCATATGATAATTTAATATCAACTATATATGTGAGGTCACAGCTTCGTTCCTAATTCGCTCCAAACATAATTTCTATATGAGTCTCGGCCACAGATTGATCTAGTTTAATGGTGCTGAAGGAATTTATAGAATTTATTGTTCGTCTCGTCTTTGAAGGGATTGTTTCCACTCTCTATCCAGATGTACAAATGAAACCAAAATCAAACCAAATGAATTGAAAGTTCTGCGCTCACTAAGAAAACCCAAAAAGTTACAAACTTAGATTTATAAGAATTTACAATGTCTGATGTCCCATTTTTAAAATAGCAAAGTCAGAAAACTCAATCCGGTATTTGGCAAGAATAACATACGAATTCTAATTTGTTTTGCTCCATATAAAATACCTCAGAACTGTTTGTGGGCGCTATGAAACTAACAAAAGGTACCTGATTTGAAATTTCGGATAGAACAGTGTTGGCATTTACCTCTCGCGATACAGTTCTTATTTTGTTGTTTTAAAAAAGCCAAACTTACTTAATTTTTTTTTTAATACGTTAATTTATTAGTGCAGAACTTTGCCATGTTTGTCGAAAACAAATTAAATGACGATTATTAGATCTATAAAAGAGGATGCAAATAAAAAAATAAGAAAAATCCCCAAACAAAAATCAGAGGAACTGAAATTCGAATATTAAGATTAGAAATTATTGTCTTTTTTTTTGAACACGCCTCAATTATTTTGACTTTGCCAGCAAATTTTCATCGAAATTAATAGAATTTTGTGGACTTGATTTACTTGGTACTTATTTAGGTATTTTGGTTCCGCAGGCAACCGCATACACTCTGTTTATTATACCCTACAACACTATGTGTTTGGGGGTATTATAAGTTTGATTGGGCCTAAAATTATGTAATACCTCGAAATATTTCTTTCCCACATAGGAAAATATATATGGATTTTCCTATCTCGCCGAGCTGAGTCGATCTAGCTATGTACGTCCGACCGTCCATGTTAATTTGTAATCACTCTACAGGTCGTAATTATGGCCCGATATTTACGAAATTTAGAATGGATGTGGGGCTATAGCCAGAATAGAACCCAATTGCTTTTGGAGATGATCGAATAATATTTAGGGTTTTTTTCCTGAATTTGAAGTTGCTCTACAAGTCGCAGTAATAGACCAATCGAAGCGGAAGTTTGCATGGGGCTAGAGCCTAGGGCTGGACAGAAGCCTTCCAATTTTGATGGTCATCGGGTAATATTTAGTAGGTAAAATAGACCATAAAATTTGTGATAAATAAAAGTCAATTTTTCGATTAAACCGCGAATATTTAAAGGTCAATTCTGACCGATACGTAGATGCCGATAGTAAATAAATCTTGAGATATAAGCATTCTAGCTAACATCCCCTTCCATCCCCTTGTATATAATATACAATGTGTATATACAAGGGGATGGAAGGAGATGTTAGCTCGAATGCTTATATCTCAAGAATGGCTAGATGGATTTTGAAAAATTTTGTCAATTAAGAATGCCCTTTTGGCATAAAAGTATAAAATTTAAAAAAAAATGACATAAAAAGACACCAAAAATGATGCTTATATAGATTTTGTAGTATTTTGTGACATTTTTTATTTTTTTATCGCATGCGATTTTTTCAATTTGACTTATAATATTGAAGTGTATATTTTGTAATATTTTTTCACCTTACAACACAGGTTGGGGTTATTATATACAGATTCCAATCATCGTTCGATCCTCACGAAAATTCTTACAAGGGTAGAGTTAGGCTCAAAAGGGCTAGTCCTATTTTTTTAAAAGATGTCCGCAATATAGTTAGGGGTTGAAATGGGCCAACAACTAAAAATGTTCCTGATCTTGCAGCCGTTATGAAGGTCACAAATAAAAACCAACGGACACTGAATCTCGCATGAAGTTAGAATTTAGGACAGCGGGTTGAATGGAGGGGCCTCTTGAATTTGGGGATCATCTCAAAATATTTAAGGGTTCACATGAACCAAGAACAAAAAAAAATTTTCTTCATCTCACAATTGAAACCAATCGACACGGAATTTTGCATGAGAGGACAGTTTAAGACAATGAAGAAGAAGTATAGCATTTTTGATGACCATTGGATTAAACTTAGCTGTAAAGTGGACCACACCGACTAATAACACGAAGGAGTGCGTAAATATGGTCAAATGTCCCTAGTCAAAATGCTAAGGTTAATATCTGGACAGTGTCCCGTGACATAATTTCAAAAGCGAAATCTTCCAAAATAGATTTGGACATAAGTGGGCTTCTAACATATGGTAGTCTTGTAGGGTATCACATG